TTTGAGTCAAAACATCTTCTTTTGCAGAAAGTATATTCTTTCCATTATTTTTTTTTTCACAATCAGCTTTAAAAATCAGAAAAAGAAAAAAATACTTAAACTATTCTTTTTAAGTTTGGGGCATTTTCTGTTGTTTTCTGAAAAATTCAGAACCACTGAAACAAATTCTCACCAGCTCTAGATCTGAAAAGACTAAAGAATGAAAGACATGATCACTCCTATTACGAATATTCTTTTACTCTCTGAAAGGGAAGTAAGCTAACTTTGCAAATAAGATACAGTCTGCTCGCTGATATAATTAGGCTGTATACTCAGTTCCAGAGATGCACTTTCTGTGTGTTTTCAGGCAAGACACTCAAACCCAGAACCGCCAGGTTAGCTGCTGCTGAGACCAGCACTGCAAAGCCTCAGAGTCGGCACATGGTATTCGCAGTGTCCTAAGGACAGAAGAGATGGGTCATTTGTAGTGGGGGTGATACCGAATCTAATGCAGCTAATGGAAAATGCAGAAAATACTAATGTACTTCGAGCCTGTCCTGCTATAGAGCAAGTTCTTTGTTTCTCAGCTAAGCTTTTCTTTTTGATTTATTTTTATTTTATAGACATTATTTAATATTTGCAAAGTTCTTCAAAAACTTTATGTGAAAGTACATAATCCATGTTTTTATAATTCACATTTTTACTTGTAAAAATGTATTGTAACTGTAATAACACAGTTTAAAAATAACTAAAATAATTTTCGTTAGGAAATTTATAACTTGAGCTAAAAAAAAAAAGGTATTATCATATTTTACATTAAAAAATTACTTTGTGTTTTTATTTTTTAAAGGCTTCTTTTTTTCCAAAGAGTTTTTTCACCTCTACCCCTCAAAGACCATTGTAAAGTTAAATATAGCTATTATATTAGTCCTATGTATTAATTGCTTTTTCATCAGTGGAAGTTTAGTAGACAGGAAGAGAAATCAGCATCTTGTTGCTGGCATCTTGTTGCCAGCTGTATTGCCGCCATTTGGTGTTATGCAGTCAGCAATGTTATACCAGTATCTCATAATCAGCTCTGTTGGATTTCTTATGCTCTCTGGACTCTAAGAAATTAATAAAATAAAAGGATTTATAAAAATATAGGAGTTAATAATGCTTAAGAATAAGATCACAGAATCACAGAATGTCAGGGGTTGGAAGGGACCTTGAAAGACCATCTAGTCCAAAACCCCTGCCAGAGCAGATGTTGTATAAAAATCAGTAAAGTTTTTAAAGCTGTTCTCCTGTAAATCCATTCTGTCAGACCTGAGAGAGCTGTAGGATGGCCATCCCACTGCACTGCACTGTTTCTGGAAAGTATTTTTTCATGTTTTGTGCAAATGCACAGACAAAGTGAATAATACACGCTGTGGCTCTAAAATGTAATATTAGCTATCCATTACTAAACGTGCAAATGTAAAATCAACTAAGTAACTGTATTATTAGAGTACCAGAAAAAACAAACTAAACAAAGAACCCCAAACATGTGGCAGCAGGACACTATAGGTACAAAAGTTCACAGTATCAAACAAGGTTCCTTAAGCACATCAGCAGCTACTTTCCATGATTGTAACTAGGCAAAGATTAACGATCAAAGAGGTAGCATCCACACATTTCAAGCGAGGAATAGATAAATCTGTTTGCAATTTAAAGATAATGGGCAGTACAAGAATGATAAAATATTTTTGTCCTTTATGACAGTCTGCATGTAGCCTGGGATCTTTCACTTAAGGGTAATGCTGATATGCCTGTCTTAAGGGCTCACTGTTTTTTGCTGCTTGCTTTGTATTCTGCCTATCCTGGTATCACAGCTTCACAGCTGATAATGAAATGGCACCGCTTCACTCAAGGACACTTAATTTGAATATTGTCAACAATTGTACAAAACTAAGCCAAAGCATGAATCAATAACCTCCCCATCTGCAGTCCAAGCAATACTGCCAGAAGGCAGAACACGCAAGGAAGGGCAACCAAACCTGCTGAAGGTGCTGTAATGATGCCACAATTTACTCACTGCTGATTTGGTTTTAACAAGGATATTTTAGCTGCTATCAAAAAGTAGAGAGGACAGTAGTTTTTCCATTTTTAGAGGCTGCAAGGTTTGGAACCACACATTTCTTAACTTAGTAGCCTTGAAATTAATCCAGGATTATTCGACTGCATGAGAACTGTTAGAAGACTGTAAAGAGCATCTCACACACTCTTTTTTTTACTGTAATCTTCCTTATAGTATCATCTTGCAGTGAAACCTGAATATCCTAATGGGATTAAACATGAAAGAAAGTCAGGAAAAAACAAGTCGCAGGATCAGAATTTTAACTGAAGCCTTCTGTGAGAAAGACCACACCACTGTCAGTGACCTTTCCTTCCCCATGTGGGTTCCCAGTTGTGCCTAGTCAAGTGTCCAAAGGAGACTCCATCAGTTCACACCTTATTTATCCCTTTGCTCCTAAAACAGGTGTCTTGTTACTAAGTGAACAAGCATTCATGCCATTGATCAGGGTGTATTAACCCACCCTGCAAGAGTGCATAATGCTCCCTGGTACGAAAAGCAGAATGTAATGATGCCATTTAAGACTTGAGTTTTGTATTGATAAAAACCCATCACTCTAAGCAAAAGGTAATGAATTATGTTCTGGCAAACAGGGAAAAGTGAAAAAAATGCAGGCTTTTTAGTGTTTTACAATGCCATTTCTATCTCCCGCTCCAGGCTTTGTTTGCTTTTTAAATGCACTCTCTGATAAGTTTGCCTTTAATGTATCTAAAAGAAAGTGTTGTTGTTTTAGAAGCTCATACTGTATCTTCACAGCCCTCGTTAGATACCACAAGAATGCTTTTCATCTCATTGTTACTCTAAACTCCTGAAGTCCTCCCTAGCTCTGAACAATTATATTAGTTAGAGAGCAGATATTTGCAGATGAGCAGCAAGCCAAGCTCAGTCAAAAGAAACTTCTAAAACATTTTAATTTTTATCATTCTAGATCTCTTTGCCCTCACAGTGCTTCAAAGATTCATACTCAGTCTCATAAATGCTATAATAAAACTAACAGCAGCGTAAACTCTAGTGTGGGAGGATGTGTATGTGGTTGAATTCCTGTTCCTCCACCCAGACACATGCCCAAAATTGGGCAAGAAGAGGAGTTTTCCTCACATGTTTTCAGCCAATGTGTTTTCCCAGCAATATAACCCCGTCTCAGCCTGTTGCTACTCCCCCTTTCATACTAATGCACACCTAAGGTGTCAGGCAAATTGCTTAACTGAAATCTCAAGTATTATATGTGTTTATTTATATTTGATTTGCTGTAGCAACCACTAGATCTAGTGCTGAGCAAGCACAAAGAGCAAGAAAATGGTCCTTGACCTTTTGAGCTTGAAGATAAGTGTAAGAGATGAGACAAAGAATAGGTAGAAGACCAGACAGCACCATAATCAGGTGTTCAGATCAGCAGTCAGTAGGCTATGACTACTACAAACATTATCTCTGACAGTTCTGATTTGCAGACAGAGATAATTATTGTCAACATACAACTTACTATCAACATGTCTAATCTTATTGGCTCCTGTTTTAAGCCCTAGTGCTTACTTCTCAAGGAGAAAAAAAATATCTATCTTGATCTGTCCCAACATATAAAATACACTGCTCTCCCACCCTGGTCTTCCAACCTCTTCTGCAGTATATAGAAAGAAGCTAAGGAAGGGAAAGAAGTTTCACAAAAAGAATATATTGGTATATAAGGTTCTTCATGGAGAAGATAAATAAAGATGTTAGACATTTGACATGAACATGGATGACAATTTCAACACTATAGCTTTGAAAATCCTGCTTCCTGGCTGCAGAATTAATCATGATGAAATACATTCCTCCTGGGTGCTCTATTATTTAAAACGAACTTTCCCAACCTTCTAACCTGCCTAAAATCCCACAGACAAAAGCATTGCCCTTGATTATGATTTACCATGTCACTTCCCTCTTTGAACTGGCTGCCTTTGCCACTGTATCAAGTACCAACAAGTTTAGTCCTCAAACTCTGGAATCCAAACAGCTCTGCTCCAGCCTGTGTCCAAGGTTTTCTACCATATAAAAATTATCTTTATCACCATAGTTTCACTAACTAAAGCTTCACTGTTCCTTTCTTTCATTATCTTTCTTCTAATTTTGTGTCTAATTCAGCCTGATCTTCCCTTACTCAGCCCCTTTTTAGCCCTATCAGACAGACTCTAACCCTTTTTTTTAGTCAAGAGACCCACTGCTTCCTACAGATTATTGTTAGGAAGAATTTATTTGCATATTTGTTAGGAATGATTTATTTGCATTCCCAAACTTATATTTGGATGAATGTGATGTGTCAATCATCCCTTCCTTCTGAAGGTGAGTGTTTTCCATTGTGTTTGTTGGTCTTCTGGAATAAACAATTCTCATTCATAAATTACCTGGCAGCATTTGTCTTGAACTCTGATAAACACACTGTCATAATAAATGTAAATAAATATATACATACAAATATATATAAATATATAAAGCAATATAAAATAAAAATAAAATAATATAAATAATATAAATAGAATAATATAAAATTAAGAATAAAGAAGAATAATATATATGTATGTAAGGATTTTCATGGCTCCAATGTAATGGATAGATAGTTATGAAATTGCAGTCTACTCACTGGTCAGTACAAAGGGAATGTTTCCTCACAAGCAAACAATAACTCTCTGATGGGCAGGTTTTGGCTGACCAGAAGAAGAATTATTAACCTGGAGCTCTTAAATACGTAGTAACTGTGAGAGATACTTATTTGGGACTTAGTTTTTATATCCAAAATGCTGTGTAAATTCTGTATTTCATACAATTATAGGATTTAGAACTTAGATTCTAATCTCACCAAAACTGGCTCTACATCAACTTTGGCCCATATACCCTAATTTTACCAGTTAAATTAACTACTAATTTGTATAGCAAAAGAATATAGAGACAATACCTGCACAAACCCACACATCATATAGTCGTCAAACAGAGGCAAACTAGGGCGGTCCTCTCGATAAATTGTGATTTTGTAGCTGCTCACAACCTGAGGGCTCGGCTGGGAGTCATCTGTTATGAGAATGATGACCTTGTTCAATCCAAGTCCAAGGGGGTAGTTAGCAATGCTGTAGGTAAAACAAGACAGAAGTGGGATAAACACTAAAGCAACAAAGATTCACACTGCTTTATCTATGGTGGCTAAACTTTATTTGATCCTTGAAGGTTCTATCTCAAACATTTTCTTTCTCTTACGACATACAATTTTAAACAAAGAAAATAGTGAAAAATAACATTTGTAACAGTTTAAAATTCTTTCAGAAGGACAAAATAGTGACAGCGAAGCTTAGTGAAAACAGCTTCAGTGGTAGTGGTAACAAGTTCATGGTAAAATAACAAGGGAGACAAAACAAGATCGGAGGTGTCAACTTGTAGATGAAATTGTCCACCTGCCAAATGTGATCGAGTCCCAGACAAACTTCTCAGAGTGACAGATGACAGCAAAGTCGGACTATGCTCATCTTCCCTTGGTGGGGAAATTAGAAATGCTGAAAGACACAGAACCTGCACATCCAGTACTTTTACATTTCAGCATAAAGGATATAATAATATTCTGTTTTCCTTTTGCAAGGAAAAATCTCTTAAGATTTTGCATGTATCAATGTTAATTGCCAAGGTGGTTAACATTAATATGCTAAAAAGTTGGGTGGAAGAATTCTATGGGAACTTTTTTTGAAATGATAAATCAAGACTAATTTCTTATTGAAAATACAGGAAGTATATTAGGCATTAGATCAGGAATAACTGTACAGACTGTGTAGTTGTTAGCACACATTCTAGTTCAAAGAACCGGCTTCATAGCCAGTCAAAAGATGGTGTCTTGCAAAGGTGCTTCATGACATGAAGAAAAACTAGTTCTGTAATCATTAAGGATTCTTCCTCTCAAGTGAATTATTGTGCCTGCTCTCTCTTTTATCCATCCACTCATGGCTAGTACGTAAATAGGTAAGTTCTCTGGTTCTGATGTACTTGACCAGATAAATAAACACTTTTTTGTCCCTCCTAGCATCCAAACCCAAGTCATGTCCAAAATGCATACTGAGGTTGCTCCTGGCACATGCTGCTGTCTGTGAGAGAGCTGGCTGCGAAAGTTGAAACTATGGCAGGGAGCACAGTAACAGGATGATTATGAATCAGTGCTCAGAGTTGATGTTTAGTGAGGACTTTTCTCTCTATCCTATTGTCCAGCTTTACACTTCTCTAAAAGATCAGATAAGGTGTAACTCTTGGTGATGACAAGATGACCCAATTAGTGGATAAGGGAAAGGCTGTGGAGGTGGTTTACCTGAACTTTAATAAAGACTTTGACACCATTTCCCACAATATTTTCGTGGAGAAACTGGCTGCTCACGGCTTAGACAGGTGCACATTTTGCTGGGTAAAAAAATGGTCGGATGGCCAGGCCCAAAGTATGATGGTGAATGCAGTTAAGTACTGTTGGTGGGTGGCCCCAAGTGGTGTTCCCCAGGGCTCAGTACTGGGGCCAGTTTTGTTTAATATCTTTATCAATGATCTGATCAAGGGGATCGAGGGGACCCTCAGCAGGTTTGCAGATGACACCAAGTTGGGCAGAAGTGTTGATGTGGTGGAAGGTGGGAAGGTTCTAGTTTAACTTTCCTGTGACTAATCTATTGGTATTCTCTGCTTTTGGAAACACAAAACAATTCTGTAATGTTCTGACATATTTTCAAAGGTAAGGACGTTTTTAGGCTTCACACTCATTTTGTTGCTCATACCTTGGCCCTTTCTTCTCGTCAAGATGTACTTGGCATTGACAGTTAGAGGGTTCTGCTCCTATCTTCACTGTTACCATGTCAAACGGGACTTCTGCGTAGTATTCTTTGATCTTTGGGTTAAACTGAGGCTTCAATTCCAGCTGTGGACTGGTGAAGATCTGCCTGATATGAGACAGGGTATCTTTATCTGTTCCAAGAAGGCATCAAAGAAAAAACTGTGAAATGTATGAACATTTTTAAGTAACATGCAACTTTTGGCAGGTTGATAACATGTACAGTGGTGAGATTTTTAATAGCTCGTCACTCTCAGAGCGATAATCCTGCTGCAAGGTCTTAATGGACTTTGTGTTGGCACTTAAGAGAAATTTTTACAACCTAGAGGGATTTTAATCATTCAGTGCCCAACGTCTTGAGTCAGAGTCGCAAAACTCAAAGTCTGAGTAAGTCTTTGAAAATGCAAGGATTAGGTCTGGGAGATCCTGTCTCCGGCTGGTTAACTGAAACTTAAAGAAGAGTTAGGCCAAAATTCATAACCTACTTAGGTACCAGCCTGTGTACAGGGTTTATGTATATTGCCAATAAAATTCAAAATAAATTAGACATACTCTTAATGTTCATAAGAACAGGTCACATGGATATATCTAGACCCATGGGGTCATTTGCAGTACAGTTGGAAGAATGTTTTATTAAAATTCCTGAATCAAAAAATTCCAGCTCCTTCCCTGTATATGAATTCTCCACAATGAAATCCTATTTGCTCAAATGTATCCTTTATTTTGTAGTGTTTGCCAAATGACTCATGAGAATAATTATTTGCCAGCAACCCACTTATGACAAATATTTTAATCCAACCTATTGGATTCAGATTTACATTATAATTACACATTCAAAAATTGCTTTCCACGTATATTCTCTAGCATATGTTTAAAACTGGGTGTTTCAGAAAACTCCAGAATACTTTAGGATGGAAACTCTTTTAGTATATTATGTGAAAAATCTTGTGGCTTAAAGCGTGCTTAAAAAGGTCATAAAAGATACAAGCAGTTCTTCGTGAGCCTTTTCTAGCTTGAAATATCTGTCTTGAGAAAAAAAATAGGGCAATTTCAGCACTCTCTTGCACAGATTAAAATGTAAAGGAAGTTATTCCAGTGGAATAGCATAATCTGGGCTAGATTTGTAGGTGAATAGAGGTTTATAAATTGAGACACAGAAGTACTTAAAAAAATCCTACAAATGCGTATAAACAGTTCTCCAGATCCCGTATGCCTTACCTAGAAAGGTTATCTGACTACTAGCTAAAAAATGAGGAGGAATTTTAAAAAAAAATATTTGAGATATTTTCAGAATAAAATATCATGCAATCATAATGGTGCTGCCAGTCAGTCAGTCCAGAAGCATCTTTGGCCTCTGATTGACACAAAGGAGTTCCTGGAGGCATCATGAGATCTGTTACAGAGGGGGAATGAAGCTCAATGGGTAGAAAAACCTTTCTGTCACAGAGCAATTGTTTTACGTTTATTAAGTGACCCCTCAGAAAATGTGTAGAGGAGGAAGGCAGCAGAAAGCACTGCTCCCATCAAAGACCAACAAACTTTATATATCTTTAAATATACTTTAAATTTTCCTGCAAGCAAATATTTTAGAAGAACTCTCCATCTCTCGAGCAGCTCTTAAAAACTCCACCATTGAGTTGAAGACTGGCCTTCTACAAGGCTGATTAAACTCCATACAAGATTAAAGGTTATTCCACAAGAACAAATGTATGCTAAAGTTCTTGGAAATAAGGGGCAAAAGTCTATTAAAGCTCGGCAAGGGATCAATGAGTGCTGGAATACTCACATTAATGTGCTCACATAGTAGTGTTTAACTTTGTGCTTGAGGCTTATTTAACATAATGGTCCAATTACTGAGTGATTCATAAGCATTCTTGCTACTCAGAAATACTTTTTTCTTTTACACAAGAGCCTGCAGGCATTCCATTCACTAAAGGATTATGCAGAAAAACCCAAGAAATTTGTTCAAGTAATCTCTTTCTTCCCCCTTAGTGGTCTAGAAAGACCTTGACTTACCATAACTGCATTGTCTTTCTTTAGGCTTGCTGGAATAATGCAATGCTGAAAGATAAACAGAAACAATTAATAATGTTCTGCTCGAAGCCTGATTCACAGTCCTATACAAGAAGCAACTCTCATTGTGTTAATTGTAAAAATTAGTGTACTTATATTCTTCTCAGTGTGAGATCTTTGCTTTTAGGTTCATGAACATTGCTCATGGGCTCAGCAGAACAACTTGCACAGGCAAGGAAGAAACTGGTCTTTTGCATGTAGTAAGTGAAGACCTTCCAGATGGAATGCAGAACAATGCAATCTAAATCATGCATGTTATCAGAAGTAGTACAAATACTTAAAAAAACCCCATGCTTAAAAGACCTTACTCTGATCCCTTACCTTCATGATTCTTCTTGAAATCAGAAAGAACATTCTGCTTAGGATTCACATTTTCTTGAGAAGAATTCCTGTCAATTCAATAGCAGACATATGTCTACATAAATGGAAGGAATGGAAACCATTAAACTTTTTTCAAAAATTTCTATATGGCAACACAGAGCACATGGTATCTTAATATTCTCCATGGAAAGATGAACCTTCTGGTTTCGTGTTATGAACATTACCTGAATGAATGTGACACAAAACACACATTCCATAATAAATGGTAGCACAAAATAATAAAAGAAAACAAGAAATACATTTCAAAATGTAACTGAATTTCTGGGAAGAGTGGATATAGTCAAGAATAAAATAATTCAAACTATATCTCTTAACTGTTTGTATTATGGGTTTTTGTATCCGTTTGAGGTTAAAGTTAGACTTTGATCAAAAAGAATTAAAAATAATTGAAAACTTGTGTCAAGGTGAATATCCGTACCTAAGTTAGCATGAGTTCATGTAATTGAACATCTATGAGTTCTGATTTGTTTGATAATTCAGAACGAATCACATGATCAACATACAGAGTATATGCATAAATGGTCAGTGAAAAAAGACAGGTCAATTGCAACAATTCATTAAGATGTTAGTAGTGCCTATATTGCTAACTCCACACATTTTTATTTCATTTAGCATTTTGGGAGCTTAGTAGAAGAAAGACAGTAGGCTTCTCTACAATCCATGTACTGGACCTCTGGTTGACAAGAAGTCCAACAGTATTTCTTAAAGCTGTCCCATGTTTTCCTTCTAACTCTTTTCTGTAGAAGTTCTCATAAAGCAGCTTCTTCCCACTGCCTTCCTGCTGCCCGTGCAGTCTGGATTTTGAAAGACACTAAGTCACTGTCTGTGCCAAGGAAGGCAAGTGGCAATATTGCTCTGCCATTGCTGATATTTCAACAGGAGCTGCTGAAAGCAATATTGAGGTCAATCATGGTCAAAGGTAAACTTTCAATAAAGAACCAGAGATTTCTCTATTACCTCAGTGAGATAAGGGAAGAAGCAGTTGGCAGATCCATGTGTTTCTGTGTGAGCACAAAAACGTAGTTCTGAGCTTTCAGTGTCTAGACACCACCCTAATTTCATACACATTCATGACCTCCTTCAAAGGAGGCACTTAACAAACTACTAGGGAATTTGTTTTCCAGTTAGAAGTCATTTTGCACCCTTCTTTCTGCTCGCCAGGTAATGGCTAACACCAAATACCTTTTTTCTCTCCACTGTTTCTTTTTGATTGCCTAGTTTCAAACTCTATTGTAAGGTGAAAACAAGGTATTTTAACTGTATAAAATGCCACACTTTGATTTAGCTAGAGGACACCTCAGGAGTGTGACAGTCACCACCACTGCAAGGCTTTCACTCCCAAAGGAATGGGTTAACCCATACGTGACAATTCTGTAAAGAGGTTGCAATTATCATCACACAACATTAAGATACACATAACTGTCTAATTACATCAAAGTATTAAAATGTGAATTTGTATTTATTACAAAAAGATACTCAGGTTACTGTATTTCCAGAAAGATATTCAGATTACAGGGAAGTGATTGTCCCCTGTTCAGTTTTGAGCCCCTCACCACAAAAAAAGACATTGAGGTGCTCAAGCATGTCCAAAGAAGGACAATGAAGCTGGTGAAGGCTCTAGTGAGCAAGTCTTATGAGAAGCATAAGGGAACTGGATTTGTTTAGCCTGGGGAAATGGAGGCTCAGGGGAGACTTTATTGCTCTCAACAACTATCTGTAAGGAGGCTGGAATGAGCCAGAGGTCAGTCTCTTCTGCAAAGTAACAAGTGATAGGATGGGAGGAAATGGCCCCAAGTTGTGCCAGGAGAAGTTTCAATTGGATATTAGAAAAAATTTTCTTCCCTGAAAGTGTTGTTAAGCATTGGAACGTGAGTCAACATCCCTGGAGGTATTTAAAAGACATGTAGAAGATAAAGTGCTTGGGGAATGGTTTGTTGGTGGAGCTGGTAGAGTTAGTTCAGTGGTCGTTGACCGTAAAGATCCTTTCCAATCTAAATGATTCTATTATTTATCTCTGCTGAAGGCTGGGCTTTATAATCATCAGCTCATTTAAGTTTTCCTCTGTCCAGGCCCCTTGTAGTCAGCAAACTGAGGAACAACAGAGTTATGAAGCACTTCCTCATGCAGGGAGCGGCCGAGATTTTGGACTCTGCACAATCCCTTCCTTCACATGCTGTTATTCAAGAAAGGACCTTAGTCTATATGAGTGTCCCCTTATTTACTTGGTGTCTTCGAGGAGCTATCAAGCACAGATATGAAGACTGCCTACTCACTTTACTCTTGGCTCTAATAAAACCAATGACTGTATGTCAGGGACCCTAGGTGAGCGCATGCTTATGAATATACGCTTTGAAAGATCCTCACCGTGTACAGTGTGCACAGCACAAACTATTGACAGTGAACCTGTTCTTTGGGAATCTGATTCAGCAGCAAGAGCAATGTTGCTCTGATGGTCTAAGCAATCAGAGACACAAACAGTGAAGGGTATGTAGATACAGATAATATCTTTCATAAGATTAAAATATACAAAGGAAAAAATCTAGTCACTTTTGGGACCTCTGGTGGGTGTGTTAGTTGTGGATGCTGCAATTTTCAATGAGTCATAAAGTCAAACTTGACATCATATTTCACTGTTCACTAGAGTTATGAATTTTATTTCTTTAGATGATATTTTGTAGGTGTCTCTTGAAAGTGAGTAGCCACTGGACATAATTCTGTTGAGTCATGATCATTAGCAACTTTTTTTCTTTGATTAACCAGGGGTGTGAGCTGCCTGTTTTGAAGGTGTTTGCTTGGCTTCAGTCACAGTTTCCATGAGCTTATTTAGTTTGCTGAATGAACTATCTTGTGCTGATTTTCAAATGAGAAATGCAAAATTACAGACTCAAGAAAGGGATTAGTTTCCTGGCACTTAATCTCTGCTGTCTCTCCTTTCCTTCTTCCCCCTGTCTCTTATTCCTTCCCTTGCAGATCGGTGGTCTTATCCAAACTTCCTTGCTGTTGTCTTCTTCTGCCCCATAGACTGAACCACATTTGTTTCTCAAACTGCTTGAGTGATGAGCACAATCAATTTAAACTCCAAGAAATTAATCTCCACCCAAATTCAGTTTGAGAGCTGCTACTCCTATTTTGACCTGAAAAGGTCCTGCATATGAGAAGCTAGTAACAGTTCTTCAAATATATCAGTTGATTTCATAAAAGCATTTGTAATTTTATTGACCTGCTTAGACTTTTGCCCTATGCAAATACAGAAGGTTTAGCTTTTTTCACTCATCTGGTTCTCTATCTGCTACCCTGACACAGGCAACCATACTTGTCACTGTACTTCATAACCCCTATTCTAAAAAACAGTAATGAGGTATGTCTTAGTCATACCACAACCTGAAACTTCATAAGGCTGATAAACTGTGCACAAACAATGTAGAAAATTGATTTCAGTGCACATATGAGGTAGTTCCACTCCACCACTTTCAAAGAACTTCTTCATCTCTTATATCAGTACATCTAAGATGGTCATTCTCACCTAGGTTGTAACCATTTCATTATAGTTTGAGATGAGATTCTAGAGTTCTTCTTGCTCCTCCTGCGGAAGGAATTCAGAAAGTTCACTAATACCATTTAAGGTTTCAATACTAGTCATGTAGATGAAGTGGGTTAAGAAAAGTAGACCAGGAAACTCCTTTAAATCCTGTCTCCATCTTGTGGATTCATGATCAATGAACAGAATAACTGTACAAAATCTAAGTCAGAAGTCATTATTTTTCCCATAAGTATCTTGTCTGGTTGGATAGTCAGCCATGCAAATCACTAGATTTTGTAATGGAAATACTAAGTTTTCATAGTCAGAGAAATAAGAACTGTTAAATAAATCAACCAAACAACGTGGCCTTAACTGAAGAAAATCAGGATAAGTGTTCTGATATACAAACTCATCAAAGCTGGGAATGTCAGAAAAAAAGATTTATCAAAGCTCAAAGAGAACGCATACCTGAGTTATTTGGGGAGTAATCTCTACTAAGCTCTTTCTTCCTTGCAATTAAGTATAATTACATGCATATCTGACACATGCATCACCATCACATGCATGTAGCTATAGGAGTGGAAGATTATGAATTAGCAATGTCAAAACACATGGGGGTTTTATACAGTGAATTAACAGAATGGCATTATTAGCTTAGCCACTGCAGAAAAATACAACGCAAAGAAGCAGATTGGCCTATGCCCTGGAGAAAGGTCATGCTACTTCTCCATATTTATACACATACAATAATGTTCAGCTTGAAGGAAAAAAACGAGGCCAAGGGGCTGCCTCAAAGTGAGTGAGTGGCACAGCTTGGATTAGAACAGAAAGCTGCCAAAGGTTGGTATGCTTTGATATGCAAACCCAAATATTTTGGCAAAGGGGCAAGGGCTTACAAATGAATGCAAGCAGCTGCATCTTCAAGTTACTTTTCATAGGGCGGCCGGCAGTAACAACAATAATACCGAGCACATTCATGGAAATGTGTATTTTCAAAACTGTTACCTAGCACAGTGGTAAAGTATAAGCTCCACTTTATAGCTAAGGAATCAAAGGTAAAGATGATTGTTGACTTGCTGAAAGCCACATCCAATTCAATGAGGAAGAAAATTAAAACTTAAAAAATCTTACAGACATCTTACATAGTCACTGTAGCATTCTCCAAAAAAGATGTACAAAATAATGTCTTCTGCTCATTTAACTTAAGACTCAGTGGAATGAAGCACACACATTGACTAACGTGCCTCTGTTCCCAAGCCCTTGTTTGCAAAATCATATATGCCTGTGGTCAGTAAAAAAAGTCTGGCATAAATGTATACAAAACATCATTAGCCATGACAAAAATGACCATAGAAAATATATTTTTACAAATTTTAAACTAAACATATAGTATATCACAGCTTTTTTCTCTTCCTCCCTCCTTCCTTCCCTCCTTCCTTCTGAAAATTAAAATTTCTTCCCAGCAGCTCAATGGATCTAACCTTGTCATTACAATATTTTTCCAGCTTTTCAAAGAGTTAAAATGAACTTCCCAGAGTATTATGCTCTTTGACCTGTCTCTTGCCAGACAGAAAGTTTAGAGCCACTCAAAATTATTAGTTTCTTTTGGAAAAATCATCACCTGAAATTTTAGATTTTCTTTACAGTTTTATTTTTAAATGGTGAATAAATCAAAAGACAATCTTGTCTTTACCAGACTCTGGTAAGCACTCCTAATTTTCACTTGACAGTTGTTCAGAAAAAAAACTCCACCCTATAATCTAATTTACTTCATATTTCTTAGAAAAAATCTGCTGTAGCTCCAATTATTTTTTTAACCCAGAGTCCCCTGTATTAGAATAACTGTTCTGTCAAGAAACACAGCTGCATCTCTAATGGCAGAATGACAGACTCTGCATCATGATGGGATGATGGACTTTCATCTCAAGTGTTGGAAGTCCACCTACATCTACTGAAGAATTAAATTTTATGATGCTCATTAGAGCTCCTGCAATTAATATAATGTGAGAGGCTACCCTCAGTATACCATATAATAGCTATCTTACCATTCTGAAAGGTTTGTGTGTGCCTCTTTAGTCATGAGCTGGAATTGTTCAAGTAAACGGGAAAGCAGCCAATGCAGAGTCAGGACGGAACCAAGCTGCCTCATTGGGTCTACTATGTGATACAAATCCTGCAGTAAAGTTTGAGTCTTGGGTGCAGAGGAAGGGAAAAGCTGAGAAGAGAGAAACTGATTAGAAACTACACATTATAATACATATAAAATGCAAAGAAGTGAGAAATTGTCAGAAGATAGTGTCTATATGCATTGGTTATATATTAATGCCCCTTCCCACATGGTTAGAAAACAACTGTCTTACCCAGCCTTGCCAGTCAAGATTACTAGTACTGACATGGAAGTCCTACTCCTTTGCCTCTGATTTGACTTCCAGACCTATTACACTCAATTCTTCTTCAGAAAGCCTTATTGGTCTCCAGCCTTGATACTAATTCAGGAGGTCTAGAAGAAATCTTGACATCATGCTGACTTTCTGAATAACAGATCTAGTTGCAGATCACTTATTTCCCAAATACTAGTCCTTCTACTCATTATCTGTCATGCCTATTTACAGATACTGTTACTCCTTTTGAGGGTTGGTCTATCCTCCCTCGTGGAGAGTGATAGGGGGAATGGATTTAAATTGCGCCAGGGGAGGTTCAGGTTAGATATTAGGAAGAATTTCTATGCTGAGAAGGTTGTCAGCCATTGGAACAGGCTGCCCAGGGAGGTGGTTGAGTCACCATCCCTGGAGGTGTTTAAGAGATGGGTAGATGTTTTGTTGCGGGGAATCATTTAGTAGGACTGGGACAAAGGCTGAACTCGATTATCTTCTAGGTCTTTTCCAGCTGATATAATTCTATGATTCTATGATTCCTCCATCTCTATTCTTCTCCAGAAATAGACTCATTTGAAGTGTGAACAGGAAGACATATTACTTATTCCGCCTGATTTTTTTTGTCTGTTTTTCATCTGTATCAATCCTCTGGTCGTGATCCAGTGTTGTACTCTCCAGTTTTCCATTCATGCCTGCTTTGCTTCATTATCACTCAATTTTCTTAGCCGCTCATTAGCCATCTACACAATTTTCCTCCTTTTCCTTTCATTCTATTTTCTGGTCTCTGTTTCTGCGTTAGCTATCATTTTCAATGAATCTTCAGCTCAGATTCTGTTTTACTTCTTTTACTCTTTTAATCTAAACTCCAAAAATCTCCCAAAATAAAATCAGTATAACCTGTATCTCCCTGCTTCCCTGTCTATCCAGCCTAATACATGTGCCAGAAACAACAAAGAATTGTAATGAAGTAGAAAAATTAAGATATTTATGTAAAATAGGTATAAAATACAACAAAACCCTCTTTATTTTACCAGCTCAAATTGTCCAATATTCTTCAGCTCCTTTATGAAAGTAATCATAGAATTTATCTCTTCTAAAGACAGACATTGTTCAACTTCTGTGTGGTAAGTCACATCCTATGAAGGAAAGGGCAGCATATTCCAGTGAAAACACATGGAGAGCAATGTGCTTTTATTAGATCCCAATCCCCTTGGTGATCCAGAAGAACAAGTTACGACAGCTCTCGACTTGCCCTAACATCTTTCAAAGTCATGTCAAGCCAGCTCCTTGACAGCTCTTCCCATTTCTCACTCTAGATTAAAGCAGACTGTGCATTAGCTTTGTGTAGAAAAGCACCCGTAGAAACTACCATGAGAAGAGAATGCATAAAGTGCAGACAATCAAGTGGACAGTTTGAAATGTGGTTTGACCTCCTACAAAGATTATGAAATCATATAGCACATGTGCATATGTCTAAGGCTTCCTGCTTTATCTTGTCATAAATTCAGAATCCATGACCTTGTCTTAGTCACATCTGTCTGAGAGGTAGAAGTCCTATAGATTATTTAGTCTCTTAAGTCTTGCAGGAAATGCACCCTTAAAAGTGCCCAGATAAAGAAAAACACTGCTAAAAGAGATTCCAGCTTGTCATAAATAGTTTTCACTAGTGATGTAAACTTTATACAGATCTTAGAGATGGAAAAATTTGTAACTCAATCTTGCATTCAGAAAAACACACTTTAATTCTGATGCTCATGAATCTACTTGTCTGAGTTATTCAATTCTAGGTTTATGAAAACACACAAACCTGTATATTAAAAAAAAAAACCAAAAAAATTTTAAAAATGGTGAGGAACTTACTTTGTTTAAGTTTTAAATATATCTTTAAAGTGCTGCACTTTAGGTAATGATATAATCTGAGAGTGGAATTTTTATAAAAGAAAATTTGATTATTCAATATAATTATAGTTTTATTCCCCAGAATTCAGTAATAGGTAATTTTGATTAAATACATTATTTATTCCAGAACTTGGCACCAACAATTTCAGAAAGGCATACAGTTTAGTATGAAATATTTTCAAATAGTTAATAGTACGAAAAAGGTGGTGTGAACTACCTTGTTCATAGCTGATCCATATATTTTTTGTAAAATTTCTATTAAACTGGATGTTGAGGATTCATTAGATAAGAGAAATTTAAAAGTATCTTCAAAAAGCAATTCTTTGAAGGCTTGGTCCTGAATACTCAATTCATCCTCATCTTGAAAGTCAAAGTTCTCATGCACCTGTTGGAAAACAATATAAGAATTTACAGTTTGAATACAAAGTCCAGTCTTCTCGTAACTACATATACCCAGTTGGAACCTTTTATTAAAAAAAAAGTCATAATAACACTAATAAAACAGACTGGATCATAATACAAAAAAATGTTGTATCACTTTTTTGGCGGGGGGGAGGGGAGTTGCCGGAAGGCACATTAAATATCATCTAGATCCAAGCCCCCTGCCATGGACAGGGGCATCTTCCACTAGGCCAGGTTCCTCAAAGCCTCATCCAACCTGGCCTTGAACACATCCAGGGTGGAGGCTTCCACAGCTTCTCTGGGCAGCCTGTTCCAGTGCCTCACCACCCTCACAGTCAAAAATTTCTTTCTAATATCTAATCTAAATCTACCCTCTTTCAATTTGAAACCATTACCCCTTGTCCTATCATTACAATGATCAAAGAGTCCTTGATGAAGTGTTCGTCCCGTTCTTTCCTGCAGGCTGCTCTAGGGTCCCCCTGGAGTTTTTAATCCACCAGCACTCCCAAATCCTCCTCTACAGGGCTGATCTCCATCCACTCATCACTCAGACTCCGTTAATTCGTAGGATTGCCCTGACGCAGGTGCAGGACTTTGCACTTCTTGAACTTCATGAGGTTTGCACAGGCCCACCTCTCAAGTCTGTCCAGCTCCCTCTGGATGGCATCTCTTCCCTCCTGCGTGCCAAGCGCACCACACAGCTTGGTGTCATTGGCAGACTTTTTTTGTCAGATTTTCTGTGACAACTGCACTGTAGTCAAAAGTTTCTGTCAGAACTACACGCCAAAATGTTTGCTGACCTCCAGTGGATTAAGTACAATATTGCATTCCATGTGAGACCTTTTTTTTGTTTGATTTGAAATGTAATTAAAAATATAAAATGTCAGATTATACGTTAACATAACTCTTGCAAAATTCAGGTATTTAGAAGTTACTACAGGTGAAAGTGTAAGTTTTACAATGTATAAACACAATCGATAAACTCATATTTATAAAATATGAATAAATTAGTATTTTAGCATAAACAAATATAACTTCTAGCTGTATGGGCTGTGTGCATGCTATTCTTTCTGAGGGATAGTTTTCAAAGTCAAACGTCATAGCAATCATCAACTATTATTTTGAGAGTAATTAGTATTTTCATAAGAAACTATTAAACCCTACTGATTTACTGTACATTCATGGCTGACAGGTGAGACTCTATACAGGCAGTTAAACACGATGGTTTATGTTTAGTTTATTAATCAACTTCGATGAGAATTTTTTTACAGTCTGGAATACAATTATTAAATTGTTATGAGATGTCTCATTTTTTATATTAGATAAACAAGTCTTGTCAGACTAATTAAAATTATTGCCTTCACAGACTTTTTAAATTGTGAAGACTTTCACATCTCCATTTCTCCTCTGAGTTTAAAGGATTTACGTTTCTTTTTGTTGTGAAGGATGGAGAGATTGACTGCACAAGCGACTTGAGTAGATTTTAACTAAGGATGAGCTTTAGAAGTGTTCTGTAATTTCCCTGGATATCTTTATTAATTTTTTTTGCCTTTTGTGTATGATAGAAATGGACAAAGATTTTATATGCCTAGGTATGTATGTATTTTTGTGTGTGTGCAGGGGCAATAAGAAGGTGAAAACCAGTGCAAATTTTACTTTTGCCCAGACTGTTCTGAGTGATACAAAACTGGCACAGGAAGTTTATTCCACAGGTTACATTTCTCTGGTTTGGAGGGCCTTGAGGACCATCTAGGAAGCAGGCAAGACAGTGGAGGTCAAAGCAGGTCATTAACTAAAAACGTACAGTACAATTCATGGAGAAATTTAATTTGTATTTAAAAACATTTGTGGTATTTTAACTTCCTTTGTCTTTGTTCTAGTACAGTTAATATCCATTTCTACTTTTATGTAGTGTTTCCTATGGATTTCTTTTTTTTTTCCCTGATATTCAGTTAGGGTGACAGTCCTCTAATGCTAAAACTGGAAGGTTTGCGTGCTTCAATGGTGTGGTGAACTTCATCAGAGGAACTCTGTCCCTTAAAAACTGGCTTCTCCCACAGCAGCTGTCCACTTTTAGGCAAAATTAGTACTAATGTATTTGTACATTTCTTAGAGATTTGAAGGTACCCATCAAAGAGGTCTCCCTGTTTTGTTATTTTTGGTGTAAAATTTTTGGGTTGATCAATAATTTGTGTGATTTTCTCACCTCAAGAACTACTGGGTACATGGACGTGCCGAATCCAATGTCAAAAGTTAGCATCTGGAAACATTGGCTGCATCTGAAATATGCAATCAGAATCAGACACAGTGAGATTAGGTACTGTCGTGAAATACAGAATCATAGAATCATTTAGGTTGGAAAAGAACTTTGAGATGACCAAGTCCAACCATAAACCTAACACTGCCAAGTCCACCACTAGACCACATCCCCGTGTATGCTACAGTGACATAGGCACATAGGTCCAGAGAATGCACACAACGTACACACATACATCAAAAGAAAATACGTGATACAGACTAAATAAAAATTTCAAGAAAAACCAGTGGCATTAAATATAGATGGAGTCAGACTGTGAGCTGATGTAAACAGTGTATATACCATACAAATATGTTATATTATAGTGTGTTTATATGGTTGACTTTTAAAACAGAGAAGGAGGTGAACTATGCTGGAGCAGGAAATGTCTTTTGATGAGAATGAGGTCCTGCAAAGGGTTTGAGGGCATTTGGAGGGCGATAGATGGTGAAATTCTCTGGGCTCACTGAAGCCAAAGGTTTGTGCTGCAGCTATGGGGATGTTTAAAGGCAAGGGCCAGGAGCTCTAAGACTTAAAGTCCTGTGTTATACAAACAAGTCATATCCATCGCCTTAGTAAAAGAAGTTAGAGTTTGGACCACTGTCAGAATAGTTTCATCCGTGTTGCACTCCTCCACTCCTCGTTGCCCTCTCCATTCACAATAAAAGCTTTATTTTCAGCTTGTCTAAGTCAAATAATGAGCTTTATACTACTGCTGCTAAAACACCTGTGTTCTCAAATAGCTTTATAAAACATATCAATGTAATAAATAGTAACTTATTCAGCAATTATCATAAAAATGTCAGGGATATGACATAACATAGATAGAACAACTATTAAATTTAATTAATAAAAATATTACATAATAAAGGTTGATTTATGTGTAAGGACTGTAACATTCTAATAGAAGTGACTACAATGATTTAACACCTGCAGAAATGTGACTGTTTCTGCCTAGGTGTGTTTCATAAGGTACATTTCATAAAGTATTCAACAGTGTCTCTTGTTCTGATTGCCTGCTGCAGCCAGTTCTGAACTGTCTGGGCCACTCCAACATTAAATATTTGACATATGACAGAAGGTTCACTGAATGGAAATACAGCTTTACATATATAAGGACCAACCCAATTGTGAGTGATTTCTGTTCATTTGTGCTGCCTGAAACACTTCATCAGAACACAGCATCTGGTCCCAAGTATACATCATAACCTTTTCACAAACTACAAACACTGTTGATATTGAAGAGTTTTACTCACTATGTGTAGCCCATACTTACTTTGTAAGGAAGCATGAAAAAGAGGGGATTTTTTTTTTATTTTGAGTCGTGTATCTTCTACAATTTTTATTCTGTACTAAGAAGCTGTCTTGACAATAGCATAGCAATGAGCACTGCAAGTCACTTACTGATTGAAAGAAATTGGTCCTGAGGCAGATGATTCACTGAAGACCTCAGTTATAAGTAGAAGTTTGTTTATAGCTTCCTTCATGTTGTTGAAGGCTTGTTGGGGAGAACTGTTTTTGAAGAATATCTCAAAAAACTTTTGCAGCTGTGAAAGAGATTGCGTATATTTTTGAACATTTACAGAAAACCAGTGCTTAAGATCATAAATTAAAAGGCTGGTAGAAATAAAAATTGCCTTTGAATGTCAACTTCACTTCTTATTCATTTGCACAGTAAAGTGGCATGAAAAGCTCCACGCAGCGTATCAGTAGAGAATGACTTTTTTTTTACAGATAAGTATATCAAAAACAAACTCCATATTTATGGTTTTAGAAAGTATTGCCCACAGTTTAAGCTCACTTTGATAAAACCTTTTGCTGTCAACTGATTCTAGGCAATGAAAACCACAAATATTTATTTCTTCAGTAACAGGCAATAGCACACTCAAAATAAAAACCTTTTCTGTTGTTAACATACTATGCTAAGGGCTATCTCGATTGACCTTGACTACAAAACCTTATCTCAGGTTTACAAACTTTAAACACAATCTAAAACACATTGAAAAAATGATCAGCCACCACAGACTGTGTTTTAACTGAACTCTTGCGCATGCTGAGGTTTTTAGAGTCCTGGATCCTCCCAGTGGCATATTCACTGATCTGCACAACATTGTCCTCAGCTGCTCTCATTCTCATGTGAATTTACCCACCTCCTCACTTCATACAGACATTCATGGAAATGACTGGAGCGACACAAGGCACCAGTGAAAAACAGGACACAGGCAGATCTTGTTTCATGAGTCCTCTGTGCTAAGAAAGGGGCTCCCTTTGAACCGTATTTGCATTAGAGTTACCACACAGCATAGAACTTAATTATATCTGAACTATATGAAACTATTAGATAATTTAGTAGTACCACACTACTGAACAGCTACATTTGTATTGTAGAAAAGTACTATCTTCAGAGATAAAAAAGGAGGATCAGGTAAAAGAGAATCAGCGTTAGCTGCGGTGTTGGAGCCTCCCCTTGTGATCATGAATGCTACCAAGGAGCTGGTCTGCATTGGCATGGAGGAACGACTTTCAGCTTCTTCATACAGCATGTTGCAGTTAATATGCACTTTCCCTTTTCCTTTCCAAAAAATACCATATCATTGCCTACAGACAGCCATGTGAAACACTAATCCTTTTTTACCTTGTTCTCTCTTCAATTCCAGTAACTCTATTCTCTTGTGCTGGTAAGTAACTGTCAGGTAGGAAGCTAGTCTAGTTGTCTTCTTGTTATTACAACCTCTGGTTTGATTCTAGCAAGTGGTTCCCTTCCCAAGCTTTACTGACTAAAAGAAATGTCCCCCATGCACAGATCTGGGCGGAAGGTTTGCAGTGCCTGGGAGTTTTTCTCCTCTTTCTGATAAAGCTATTTGAAATGCTAGTAGGAAAAAAAGATGATTAAAGTTATAAAATTAAACCTCTGACTACTAGGCAATTGCAAATAAACGCTGCACGTATACCCTCAGCTCTGCCCATTGGATATTGGTATGATATTGAAAACTTGAATTACACCACATTGTATTTTTATGCTATATAAAGTTTTCAGATCAGCTCTGTTTTAGATTCATCTCTGAATGAGTTTATCCCATTTCCGTTCCTTGTTCAGAAAAAAACAGTTAATTAAACTGTTCACACAAAATAAAAATAAAAAATAAAAAAAAAAGCAGGCTCCTCTCACCAAGGTGAAACTACATGTTGGTATTTCAGCTGACTTTGACAACTATTTCCAGCATCTCTAGCGGATTCTGTACATCACTCACATTC